CATTCAGGTTATCCATCATATTTTCACATAATCGTGCAATTTTGTATCTGTTATAAAAAGTAACCATAGAGACTGGTAGAAAATTCATTTGTATCATAAAGACCAATAATTCTAAACCTTTATTTATGTAAATAATCGTTACTTTAATAATGTAGAATACTATTATTTGGTTTATACAGAACCTCAAAATGCAAAGGAAATATGATTTAAAATGCCTTGGAATACTACGGAACTGGAATATATATATATATATATATATATATATATATATATATATATATATATATATATATATATATATTATCACCATATTGTAATGTGTTTATTGGGGTAAAATGATTAAAGACATAAATGATGGAATAACTTACACTTTCCCTGATAGTCTAACTAAATTAATCTGTAGTGATCACTTCCTAAATTATTTTCTTTCTTTAGATAAAGCAGAAATAGATTTACTCTGTAATACAAATAGCAATTTCTTATTAAATTTGTGAAAATAATGTAACTTTATCATACGAATAAAATTTCAACTGATCATTGAAAAAAAATGATGCGCTTTTTACAAAATGCTTTATTCAACATTATAATTAAATGTTACAAATGGAAATATATATTACTTTCTTTAAAAGAAGGAAAAAAGTAAGCTATTCCCGTACGTTGGAAAAGTTTATATATATTTATAGAAACATATTTTTTGTGAGATTTTATACACTTCTAAATGAAATAATGCTAAGGTTCTCTGAAAATTTATTTAATACTTGGAGATAACAATTTAGTTTTGATTTGAAAAAGATCGGAGTATATTTGTTTTTCTGGTGAAAATAATTGTTATCACCAACTGACTTCATCTACAAAATCTTTAAATCCCCTAGTAAGATAACCCTTTAGATTATACCACGTTGGTTCCCGTTTCCAACTTTAGCCAGTTTGTGAAATAACATGACTACTGCTCAATTCAGTAGGTAGCATTTACCTTATTTCTAAAACTCTAAAACTTCCCAGTAAGGCCTGAAGCTCCTAGGTTCGATATCGCTTATTTTATTTATCAGTGTGCAGGTATCTTACCATAATTGAAAGAATAAATTTTGAGAAATATACATGTAATATTTCGTTAATAAAGTCTCTATTAAATGATAAAAATAAAGTTAGAAGCTTGGATTTATACAATCTAATGGTTTTTGAACGATTAAAACTATCTCTTTCATTATTACTTACCAACAAAACTAATATAATTCACAATTGAGAAAATATTTATTCATACGTGGAAGTTGGTTGGTTTTTATTGATTATTTGGATGAACTATCATTACTTTTAAGATAAGCTATTTGAAGTACAATAACTTTGCAAAAATATAACACTTTAATTTACTTATTATCTAAACTCAATGATGAAGGCTCCTAGTTCCTTTTGAAATTTTAATTTCCGACAGAACAAAATTACTGATAGAAAATTATCAATCCATTATAGTGACATGTATTTACAACTGATTGATCACTGGGTGGTGATCAATGTCATGTGTGTTAGGTCCTTCTTAGTGCAGATCGAACCCTATCGATCAAGTTGCAATGTGGCCACTAGTTTAGGTGATTCGATATTGCGTGAACTATGTTGAGATAAGATGGTGGTTGGAGGTAGTCAACAGGAAACACTAGACCTAGGTTTCGTACTATTTGACACTCGTCAGAAAGGTGTGCTCGTAATCTTGAGGGAACTGATGCTCCCTGACGGATTCGATCCCGTCACCCAGCTTCAATGGGTGATGGTCGATCAATTTTAAATACATCTCAGTCCTGCAGGTGGTCAGTCGTGGACCGGACATGAATTTGGTGATGAATATATATGCTGCCTTCGGTACTCAAATAAATTCTATCTACGATCATTTTTGTTTTATTGGCCACGGCCTGTGATCGAAGATTATAAGTGTTATAATAGCAATTTAGTTTACACTAAGTGGGACTCTTGAGCTGGATTATTTGACAAAGCTTTCGAGTTTATATTCCACTTCACGCCGTCGGTACCAACCATGCAGGACATTTGTTAACCGAGTTAACTACACTTGTGGTGGTTATCCCAGAAAGAGCTTTCAAATACTATTCATTTAGTAACAACTGTTATCCCTTTTTCATTTAATATACCATATTTTTGTGAGTGCTGTTCGTTACCTATTTTTATTCATAGACAGTCATTTCGGTTTACAGTATTATATTTCTGAGCATATTATTAATTTTGTGTATTGATACGTCTTGAATAAGTTCTTTTACTGGGTCCATTACACCACAAAACAAGTATATCAAGTAATAATTTCGTAGATGGCAAATAGTTATGTCAGATTAAGTTAGTTTTTCTCGAAACCGACTATATTAAAATACTCCAACTGTTGATCAAGTGAAAGTAATTTCTTTTAGAAGAAAGAATCATATGGTCAGGACTCTCATTAAGTGATTGTCTTTTTCAGTATTGTAAGTAGTTTGTCGACTTTTTTTTCTCTCAAAAATATCATTGCTAGAGTAAGAGTAAACTTGATTATGAACTTTCAATAGTACAGTTTTCTCAGATCACTGAAATTATGTCACCTTGTGAGATTGATTGGTTGGAACGTAAAGTCATGTAAAAAAATCAAATGCAGAGTCGAATCATTCGCGTAACATTGCAGACATGAAGGTATAAATATATTATTTTGTAATGACTAGTCCTGTTAACTCTAAGTCGCAGCCACTATTATATCTTCGGAGGACCTTTCTATTATGTTTACCGTGTCGTCGCTGTTATATACATTTAGACTCTATTAGGTTCGCAGTCTTACTGCTTGTACTTTAAAAACGGAAACCACTACAATTCCTCGATTCTACTGTATATACTTTAAGACAGGAATCACTGCAATTCCCACGACGAAAAGTAAGAACACAAAAGACTGGTGCATTGAAAATTTATTTACTGCAAAAGCAAGTCCCCAAATCATGTTGTCATTACACCAAAATACAATCACTTGCATACAAATTTCCACACATTATAAGATCTATATATAGAACTGTAGAAATATACATCGAATGCAGTTCACCTGAATTGATGGAGGGGATATAATTGTCACAGTGAATGACGTTCATAACTGCGACCCTGGCCAAAATGTATAAAGAATTGACAAAAAATACTAACCTAAATAATTTCATCATATTCCGTCATATCAAGTTCAAAAGAAGAAAAACTTTACTAATTTAAGAATTCTTAACTTAATTCATAAAAATTTCACGAATTCATTTATTATCGTCAATTATTAGTTAAACGATGTCTAAAACATGTATTTTTACTTGTATTGAATGCTTTTACAATTACTCACGTGACAGACTTATGTACTTTTAATGACGATAAGCACCAGCAGCAACTTGAATCAATTCTAACATCGACTAATTGCCAAGCGGTGGTTCATTGCTCAAGGCATTCGACTTTGGTTTGAGTAATCGAGTAATATTACTATTAGCCTTCACACTTAGATTGTAACACCAAGACAAGACCACGAAATAATAACTGATAAATAGTTTACATAAACTTATTATCAATGTTGTTGGTCGATATTAACTTAAGCATTTTAATCCCAGTTTCCATTTAATTTCACTGTACTTAAACCTGAAATGACAGGTAAAAGGAATGTTAGTGAAATATGGAAAATGTAGTGAAAATTTAAAAGTTGTTTCTCATTATAAACCTTTGGTAAACAATGCCATAGGAAAAGGAAATATAGGATAAAAAAGTGACATTCGTGAATTTTAGTTTTGTTTCTCGTGAAAGCAAATGTATTTAGTCTTAGTAAATTGTCATATATATGCCAAGGTATTTCTCCAGTTTTTCATATGATGCAAGATGCCATTCATTCTTGAAATTTGCTTGTAAAATAAGGCTACACTAGAATATCTTGATGAAGCTATTAATGGAGTCCTTTTTGCTTTACACTTAATATAGATATTGGATAATAAAACCACTAAGAGACTATATCTCTAGGAGGTAATAGAGTATTTAAAGTTGCAAAACATTTGTTGTCAAGATTACGAGTGTCATTTTAAAAGAGTTATCCAATATTTTCCTACACTGACGGCTCACACATCATTTTTGTTATGTGATATAAGGAAATTGAATACATTACAATTTCCGTTTAAACAAGCATTTTTCAAAGCTAGGAAACAGTTGATTTCACACAAGTAAATCTATAGAATTTAATAAAACACAGAATTTTTGACTGAGATCACGAATAGATCGATGTTAGACCACTATTGAACACAGATTATTATAATGTAACTCATACATCAAGTTCGAATTTATATGATCGGTTTAGGGTCATATCCTCTTATGTGAGGACGAGTGATACCGCCCAGATACCAAAACCAAGGTAAATGGATAAGGATTTCAACATACGACCCACTGCTTGGAAGTTGAGTGCTTTAACTACTAAGGTACCAATCAATATAAGTGCAGTTCGGTTAATAAATAAATAATGTGTAAATATCAAACAAGTAGAAAATAATGCATAACAGTGTGTCATAAATAAGTTACCACCAAATATTCAAGTGAATGGATAATATCTTCATAATTAGTATTCACTAACCAACTACTTTACAGTAGACAGTGAGGAGCACCAAATGGATTGAACAGAATAAATATCATATATTATTAGTATAGAGGATTAGTGGAGGTTATAGAATTTTCATTTTAAATCACAAACTGATCTTGACTAAACCACCATGGAAGATCATATATATCAGGGAATATTGAACAGGTTTTTGAAAAAAACCAAATGAACTGCTAAGAACGTCGAGTGAGAAAATACTATTACAAAGTTTTGTGAGTATTTTGATCGCTTCATCTTATATTTATTATTTGTAACACTTCAGCGTTCAATAAATTTTGAGCACGAAATATTTAAACAACTATTTTTTTGTGAAAATTCTTTTTGAATAAAATTCGGCACATTGTTATATTAAAATTTTCCACTGACTAACAAGCTTATGGATGCCGACGCTATTATTGTACATCTTTTTTAAATATGAAAAGACAAAGATGACAGAACTAAGAAGGCGATTGAATGTCACTATTAACCAGACATTTTATTTACTCGCATAAAAAATATTAATTTTAAAAATCTATAGCTATTTGGAAGTTATCTTTACTTGATAAACGATTTCAGCTACACTTATTATTAAAGTAGAATGTGAGGATAACTATTTCGTTATCGTTATTAGCTCCTACTGAGAAAAAAATATGACGAGATCGTTATTGGAATTTCTGCATTAATTTCTCACTGATGATTACGTCAGAAGTAATCCCTGGAAGATCAATGGTGAATTCGATCAAACTACATTTACAGCTACTAATATTTCCAAATGCAAAATATCTTTCCGTTAGTATTTTATGAAGTTTTACATCACAGATTTAGTCCAATAAGACAAAAATGGGATACAAGGAAGTAAAGAACAGATATTTCGTCCCAATATGAGTTCTTATCAATGCGGATTCACGATCTCTTGAAGGATTGAATACATGATCATCAGGTTTTGCCACGAGCCCTTAACCTACAGACAACCAAGTTGAAATACCATTAGTTCACTCTCCTAGCTTCAGTCATTTCATAATACTGTGCAACTAACATTCATTGTATATGTACTTCATTGCCTATGCATAGTCAGTAGGCACTGGTTTACTATGAGGAAAGTTGGTACGGTTTTTGGCAATTTGTAAGTACGAAGCTACGTAAGATCTAAGTTTAGATTGTATAATTTTAATTTAGAATCAAATAACCACAAAGATGTGATGCTTAATAGGAATTTAAGTAAATCTTTTACAGGTATGATTGTAGAATTATACTGGAAACAATTTCGGATGATAAATAAGGTTAATTTATATTGTTACAGAAATGTTTAGAAGACGCGAATGAACAAGAACCGCTTGTCTATACAGACAGAAATGTGTGCAGTATTATCACTTAGAATAATTCGTTACGAAAAATATTTTTATTAGATGGTAAGAAGTTGGTCAAGTCAAAAACAATCATATATCTCACTAACCATAAATATATATGAAAAAGGCTGGTTGCCTACGCAATTTTGAGGAAAACATTACACATCGAAAAATATGCCTTCCAACTGTTATTTTTTAGCAAAATAATAAAAAAGAATGTTTATCCAAAACATTTCTCACATTGCAAAGAACAAAACAAAAACAGGATATATACATTTTTATCTACAGTGATCATGTTTTCGTTGCACCAAAATATAAAGTTCTGAGATTTTTCTCTGTATAATGGTTACACCATTATAAAACCTGGCGATATTTCGTTCTTTTTTGGATAAAGAAACATTCTGCATATTAGTTTCTTATTCGTAAATTCAAAGAGTGAATGTGTAAACCTTAACAGAAACTTCAGCTGCGTTCCAACATCCTTATATATATGTTTGGATATCGGAATTTATTAGAGCTTAGAAGATAAGCATATTATGTGATCAATCTAGTATAGTGAAGTTTGAACTCAAGTACGGATAAATCGTGTGCAAATGTTCTGTAAGAAACTTTTTCTACTTTTCCAATCACTCACATATAAATCTTGGCGACTTTTAGTGAATTGCTACCGAACGACGATTCGCATTAGGGCATGGTAAGCAAATGTTAATGTTAAAATTCACTAAACTGAATTCATCGCAATGTACGGAAGGGATGTGACAGTTACTCAAGGATGAATGGTAATTATTAATAGCATTACTTCATTTTTCTCAACTGCATGACTGGTCTTTACAGTCAAGGGATTGACTTCGTGAATATCTAGTAATAATTGATTATAATAACAATAATAACAAACAGCTGTCGAAATGGTAGCTGATCACATTCCCTTAAAACGTACATTATAAATTTGAACGACCCTTTAGAAATTAGCATGCAAGGATTATTGAAGTTACATAATAAACTTGGTGAACTATTTCCCCATATAATAAACCAAATTTCGGGTCTGATGAATTCAACAGAAATCAGAAAAATCTAGGAAGTGAAATTAATAAATACGAGATTTGTCAAACTTCAAATATTATGCTAACGTCAATTTTTAACTAGCCTATATATGAAAATCTTAATAAAATATGTACTCACAAAAGCAATGTATGTGAAAAAAAGAATTTTTAGTGGTGACGAAAATGGCGCTTTTGATAAAAATGAAAGCAGAATTGAATTAAAAAAAACCGGATAATAAAAACTGTCTAACTACAGCTATATGTACACGTACACAGACACGTAAACACACCGTGGGCGCTAGGACAGAAAGATGACGAGACAAGGAAATGTGGTGCATAGACTACACTACAATCATAGCCAGCAAATTATCAACCAAACAGAACTTCTTGAAGCAAGAAATGAATTAAGAAAAAATAACAAGTGATACGAAAGACATCGAGATGCTACACCTGAAGTAAACAAATATATGAAAAAGGATGACAAAAGAAATGATGCACAGGCGCTTGAGAATATAACAACGAAACAAGTAAGAAATAACTCTATATCTTTCAATGTGACTGTTTATAATAGAAATAGACGGGGTGAGGGTGAGTAGAGTTTGCAAAATATACATGATTACAGAATCTGGATTTGTGATGTAGTCTTTTTTATGATGAAAGAAGAAAAAGCGAACGGCACAAATGAATTTTTCAACAACTAACGATGATGTTACATTCCAGAGAATAAATAAGTTTATGTCTCACAAAAAGTTAACAAGAATCAGTCAGCCGGGGGAATGATTTTTCACAATTTGGAAAGCTTGCATAGTAGGAAAAGCAGACCATATAAAGTAAGAAAGGCAAATTAAAGGAAGACAGTGAACGCAGAAAAAGCATAAATTCAGTAGTTTCAATGGCTTCAGAAATTAACAGTTCAAGAAACTATTATTTGCTGCTCCTAGAATATTTCAAAAGATAATCACTTAAAAATTTACTTATTGGAACCTATTCGTTGAGAAAGACGCAGGTAGATGTTCATAAGTAATATGATCTGCTAAACATTATATATATATATATATATGGATGTTTAGACGGACAGTCTAGATTCCGGTGCAGAAGATTCAGATTCTGCCACCATAGCAGCTGCAGCAGCTAAAATCACTGCAGCACCAGTCACAGCATCGACGTTAGCCCCTGGTTCACAAAGACGTTTATCATCAACGGGATCTGTTTTTTTTTCAGACTCGCTACTTGTATTGGAAGAATTAAATATCACATTGCGATAAGCTCTTTTTGCCGCGTACCGAGGATGTTGGTAGGGATTACCACAGTTATGGTACTGGGGTGATTTCCAACTTTGTAACTCACTAGACATTTCATTTGTTGAATCCTGTGGTAATCGATTACTGTCCACTTTACTTTCTACTAAAAGTGAGTGCGATTCAGTGCAATGAAGTTGTAAATGTTCACCTGAATGAGGACTAATTGTATCTGGATTAACCGGAGACGTATAGGAAATGGTAACAGGGTTATTTGCGCAGTCACCTTTTGTGTCGTGCAATTGTGGTACACATGAGTGTGATGACGATTCATCAAAAGAAGAACGATTTACGTGATTGGTACCACAAGTCACATTTGAAGAGGGTTCGGAACACTTCAAGGAATACGGGCTTAACCATGTAGCCTGATTTGAATACGGTGATAGTTTAGGTGCAGTGAACACAGAACGTCTGCGTTGACGAGTTGAGCGTGGACAATCATGAAGTTGTTGTACTTCTTCTCCGAATTCAGAAGCCATATGATGCACTTCAGTGGATCTTTCACATATATTACGATCAGATTCTGAAGAAAACCGGGCAGTTGAATCTAATCCAGAAGCATCTGCAGCATCTGAACCTGAATAGTTAGCAGACACTGAGGTCACAGCAGCTAAAACAGCTGCGGCGCATGCAGCTGTGGAACTATTTAATCCTAAACCGCATAACTCCTTAAAGCAAAGCGCTTTAACTTTTTGAAGCTCTTCAATTAGCTGTTGATTTTGACTTTCTAAAAGACTAACTCGAGCTTCTAGACACTTTACATATTCTTTCTTTTTTCTACGACATTCCCTTGCAGCTTCTCTAAAATGAAAAAAAGAGAAAACACCGTTGACATTTATAATAAGCAAGCTTAGTAATACAGCTCAAAAACTAATTAAAAGCAAACTCTTTTGACTGTTTCCTAATGTATAGATAATTGAGAAGTCTATCAAACACAGCGGGATTAAATTATCAATACATCGATAATCACATTACACTAATGAGGACAATGATTGTGTATATGATATTCCCCTATTTCAATTTAATCACTAGACTATTTAGAAATAACCATTACGTCATCACCGTTGCCATCGTAAACTAAATAGTCGTCATAATATCAACTACAACTAAAGTTCTTAAACGAGGTAGAAAACTAACCGATGTTTTAACAGAAATATCAAATAAAGGAATGTGCTTTGAACCTATTTTCAAGTATTGAACCAAGCCTAATTGACCAATAATATAAGGTGAGCCAACATTAACGATGTTGAGGGTGTGCTTCAACAACCGTGTTAAAGTTGGTCTCACCGATCAAACGTTTTACAGAGTGAACAGTGGCCAGTTAAGTGGTCGAAACAAGTCAGACCCCCGCTTGAAAGTAAGGTGGTCTGAGTAGCCAAACTTTATATCAGCAAAGTGGGATAAAGTACAGATGGCTAACGAAAGAAATACAGATTAGTAATTATGATTAAGGCTTCTGATCTTATATTGGTGACATAACTGTCTCATTAATGATCATGAAACTGTATTCACAAATCATCTGAGATTGATTCTTAACAATGTTAGAACGTAGGTATAAAAAAAACACCCAACCAGAAACCGATTCCAAACAATAATATTGAAAGAAACCAATTAGGGAAGTGGAATCGTAAGAGTTACAAATCTAAAGATTAAATTATTAATTCTGTCAGTCATAATTAGTTTGAGCTTAATTTATTGCTTCGTCGAATAGTCAAAAACATATTATACATTCGTCTTACTATTAATTTAAACCATACTAGGTAAGCGAAGTCAATCAGCGCTACGGCAGTGGTAAAAAGAAGTAATTCATAAAATACACACCCAGTAGTAGAAATTTCCAGTTAAAGGAACTGTAATAATAATACTCATGAGTCGTACTTTGAGATCATATGACATCACCAAAGTACATCAACATTTTGAGGCGGAAATCTCGATATGAGCCAGTAACACTTCCGCAAAGAGGGAAACTCATGAATGTTGTATTATAAGTCAATATGATTTATGACAACTAATTAATGTCTATATGATATTAAAAATTTAACTTGTTTAAATCTGAATGAAAATGAAATAACATTACCAACATACCGTAAAAAAAAAACATAAATACCTGTTTTTTAAAAGACGTTGTTCGCGTTTACGGTTTGGTTCATCAGTTTTAAAATCACACTCTGTCCCACAGTTAGTTCTTAATGACCTGCAGGAAACCGATGATCTGGAAGTAGCTCCACTCAAATCATCCATTGGTGTATTCTTAACTCTACATTCAACATTTAATGGAGAAATATTCAATTGGGGAGTTGCTGAATTAGATAATGAGGAACAACTTAGTGGTGAAGTTGGAGGACATGTGGCCAATGCAAGTTCACTTGAAACTGATGTATGTGTAGGAGAAAAATATCTTGTATTACATTTATTAGAATTTCTATTAAATGATGGGTGAACACCCAATGGATGTACCAGATGCGAATCATACTTTGGTGATGTTTTGTAAAAAGGTTGGAAATTAGGATCTTCATAACCTCTATGTGGTACACTGGAAGAGTTTCGGGAGTTATCTACGTTTTCATCAGGATCTAAAGTAGATAAATAATGCCGTGTAATTTTAGCCGGACCTTCTGAATTAATATCCATTAAATAAGATTCCTCTGAACGATTACGTTGTTCGATACAATTATCGTTCAGAAAAGAAGTTGAAATAGATGTTGACTCACGGGTTAAAGAAAAACCTTCAGGGTAATCTGGAAGAGTTGATTGCTAAAACAAGGAAAAACCAGTGTAAAATTAGGGCTGGAATTAATGAAAGCTTTGAGATAGGGAATACTAAGATAACATAACAATTTAACGTAGAAACTCGTGGAACCATAAAACTCAACTTATCGGATCTTAGTATTATGATAAATAGCTAGAAAGTGGAAAAATATAAGAGGCTACCATATTAAATGATGTTATGATTTATAAGTGGAAAGATCGGCAAAAATTGTAAGTAAGCGGATGAAATTCATAATATCGAGTAATTTCTCTTACACATTGCATACTTGTAGTTGAAATGTGGACACAGAATCGTTATGACAGTACATTTACAGTCAAAGGGAATTTGTTAAAGAAAACTTAAATGTTAGGTATTTCTTTAATTTAGCTTCATCCATATTGGTACTTATTCTTAATACTTACTGTTAACAAGTATAGCGCACCCAAATGAGAAGCGGTGTTTGAACACGCATAAAGAATATGCCGACAAACCCATTAATCATTAATTCCCTTTACACAGTGATCCAAGTCTAACATTTTCATCGCTCACATAGTGGTTTCAACATATGCAAACAATTATCTAAAAGAATACGTGGCAATAGCCTACGCATATTTTTTTAGACCTTCAAATACCAAGTTCTACAGACAAAAAATAATACACAGTAGAACTTTGTGCAGCATACAGATAACACACTTAAACTACATCTGATGCAAGCTGAGAGTCCTGTCTTTGTCAGACATCAACACATAAAATTTATGATAAATGCAATGAAGCTGGATTTTCTGAAAAATTTTAAAGCCACACATTTTCGTTGAGGGTTGATGAAATAGTAGTAGACGAAGCAGAAATCAATTTTCTAACCAAACAATCAGTAATTAGAGGTTCCGAATATAAACCCACTGACTCACTAAGCTGGATGACACCTCACTGTGCAATATACTACTCGACACAGATGAGTTTTATTTTGAAACCATAAAAGTACCCGGAACACTAAGTGGCATGTAAGTAGAAAAAAGCAATATATAGGTTACTTTAAGTCCACCTTGACGGTAAGCATAACGAGTGACGTCAGTGTCAGATTGCTTTGGCATCTACTAAACGAGCTTAAATATTCCGACGGTATACGGCCCCAAATGCCCTGGTACGGCCGGGAGTGGTGAGAATCAGTCCTCCCTCTCAAAATGTTCTCAAGTGGTCGCGTGTATACAACGACTGCTAGGGAAGTCCTACTCAATGCCTTCTCGTGACGGGAGTGTTGTTGACAAAATTGAAAGGACGAAAAGCAAATGTCCGGCACCTTAACCGGGTTGATAGACACAGAGAGTCCACCTAGGGGAGTTGGAAAACCCTGATTATAAACTAATGGTGTACATGGGCTCCAGGATCCTAAGGAAACAAATAGCGTATGAACCAGTTGTTGGTCAACAGCTACCACGGGACTGTATCCCCTTACGTTGCTTCACTGCCTTGTGGATTAGACCTTTAGTTCGAAGGCTCGGAGTGTGGCCCCCTAACAAAACCACCTGCCTCGGTTTGATCCCCCGGGTTGTATCACAGTCCTCACACAAATCGAATGATTTATGTGGTGCATATCTATTCGGTACCTTCTTGTACCAATGTTTATGTGTTTAAATAAATAAAAATTATGCCTACAACAGTGTACACAGTTTGCATATAACAATAAAATAATGGGAGATGCTGTAGGGTCTTAAAAATTAACCACGAAAAGAAGGGCATAAACTCGTTAAGGAAGAGACTATATTTATTTATTTAGATATTTTTCTAGCGTTTTAAACCTACAAGTTCTTTCGTGTTGAAACTTTACATAACTGCGCCAATTCTTCATTCGTGTAGTTAAAATTGGACAAGTTTGGTAGATAAATAGTGTCCATTTCTTGACGAAGTCGTTTAAAGCTTTGATAACAGTTAACTAATCCTCATAGTCTAGTCATCTTAGAGACAATGAGGACTGAATACTAGTAAATTAATATGGAATGACATTTTGTAGACCATAAAAATTGAGTCAGTTAACACAGGGAAGAAAAACAATGGAGAAATTTGAACCTGGTGAAAAAACACTTCATCTTCATTATCTTTAATATCGACTGGGACAAAACAAAATATGAGCAGAGAACGTGCCTTTAATGTACATTACATTACTTAATGCCTTTACTTAAGGTTATCTACATTATATATATTTTACTGTTTTGACTTTAATCAGCTAGACAGATACAGAATCGGCATTTAAGTAATGATGATAGCTGGGTAATAGAAGAAAGATTCAACAGTTAAAAATATGTAAGGGTAAAGTAACTGACTAGCTGTATATATATATACGTGAATAGAACTAATAGAGATCAAGAAAATTGTGTTTTCACAAGATGAGAAACCAATAGAGAGAAATCAAGGAACTTTTTCGTGTAAGAACCATGGTCGATTATTTTTAGGTATACGAGTAAGTTGATAAAGGAGCTCTTCTAGATGCAATTCGATATCAGGAAATGTCACGTCTAGGAGTTTAGTAAAACAGATAACAAGCCCCGTCTTTACTTGCTACTAAAAATGACAACACAAGGAGTTTCAACCAAACGCATTCAAAGTTCTAAGTAGTCTATATTACATAACAAGTAAGCAATTAGGCTGTAGTCAAGTAACTAGTCAGTCATTCTCCATACTGTAAACTAACCTGACTATTGAGGAGCTGAGAATTTCCCAGATCAAGAGTAGACGTTACGTTTGAAGGTAAAAAAGACAATAACTGTGGTTCCTCACTGGGAGCACTTTTTAATTCATGCCTAGGTGCAACATCCATACACACTGGATTAAGTACATTAGTGAAACATGGAGGAGCAAGTGTTGAAGAACGTCTTCTAAACACAGATGCTAGTGTAGAATGTGCAGTTAGTAATTTTGGATGTTGTTCAGAAAGGGAGATAAGATCATTCATAGCAGAATGACCAAGTAATGAACGTTGGCATTCACGAAGTTCGGAACTAGAAGAATTGCTAATTGTTGTACATGTGGATGAAGCAGCTAAAGCCAATGACAACACCGCCGCCTGAAAATTAGATGTGCTAGAACTAGCTGATGGAGATCGAGGACTGGCAATAGCTTGAGCAGCAGCTAAGGCAGCTTGTTGTGCAGCTACTGAAATCATAGATGAAGATAAAGGAGATGGTTGTGGTGATTCTAGAAGGCTTGAAGTTGAACAACGTCTTCCAGAAAAAGTCACATTATTAGATGGTGATTCATTTACAGCTGCAGCTTGTATTAAAAGAGCTGCTGCTGCTGCTGCAGACATTGCAGATGGGTTATTTGTTCCGTAAGGTGACACTCCAGCGGCCATTCCTAATGCATCCAGGTTACTTCGATTATTATTATTGTATGAAACTTGATGAACCGTTTCTACTTGGACTTGATCATTAAGCAGATCATCAGGTACAAGATCCAATTGATCAGGATTAAGAGACATGCACGCTGTCACACGAAACTGAATAGGATTATGTAAAGAGAGAACATGAAAAATGAAATTGCTTATAAAACGCGTTTTAGAGTAAAAAAATAAAGTATGAACATAGATAATTTTAAGACTATTTATAGATGTTAATGGGATCAGTACAAAATTCAATATTAATCTGAACTACTGAAGGAATATGGTGAGATAAAATTTAGTTGTATAAACTAGAAGAAAAGTGTGAGCATAAAAATACTTAAAACAAGTGCGGTGTCCAGAAATCTACAATCAGTAATTTACCACCAAATAAAACAGTATTGAAAATATATTACAGTGTTTCAAACAAATATCGGCAAACTAATAAACAGTGACAAGATAACAAAATATTATGAGCTGTGACGTGTAAATCAGGAAACAATGCTATTCAGAAATGGGTTATCCAGCTTCCCACAAAAGCATCTGCGTACGACGAACATATTCAAAAACCTTCTTGTAGTTTAACTTAACCAAAAGGCAAAAGATAACTCATACATAAGCTATATGACACTGAATAAATGAACACACCAGAAGTTCAAAAATAAAGAGAAACTTCTCGTGACTTCTACGCTCAGTGGTATAAGAAGAGTATGGATTAGCACCATACTAAATGAACGGTAAAGCAAATGTTGTGTATTTTACTTACTACAAACGTCTACACATTATCAAGTGTTTATATCGTCCCGATTTAGAAATAAGTGACTAAAAACGAACTAGCTATGAGTAATAAATGTGATTTCACTATTAAATAATGAGATATTATAGGTAGGAAATATCATAGTGGTGTATGGGTTTGAAAAATTGAAAGTTAGCGAGAGAGTGGTTGATAGTAGTATTTTACACATATCGGAATTCGGTGAAGGTAGTGGTCAGAGTTTTACTGTAAGTCGTTTGACGGTTATTTTCATCACTTTAAGTAACTTACTGTATATGTAGGTAAAAACGATTGTGATTAAAGTTTAGGACATTTTTGATTACTTTAAAACCGAATGAACTCCTGATCAATCACAAACTAATCGCCAAAGTGGTTGAAACTCAAGTTTCGCAAAGTAGTACAAGATACTGAACACGAGTGATATAGAAACCAGACCACTTTTAACATATTTCCAACATGAATTGAAAGTAGGGATGCAGGAAATACGTGACAATTAGAAATGGATTACTTAGAACGTTTTGGTGTTGAATACAGGTGCTAGAGGAATACTGTCATCAGCATATTCTAAGTCAACAAGTGAACCTCCCGGTAGAAGTTCAACCCCTGTAAATTTTGATGAGGAAAGTGTTATCTCTAAAAGTACGTCAATGACAAAGTTGAACAAGAATGGAGAGAGTGGACAGCCCTGACGAACACCACTTGAGGTAATCAATTCTGATGACAGTTCGCCATAAGCTCTCACTCGACCAGTTGTATTCGAGTAGAGAGCCTGTATAAGGTTAATGTACTTTTTTGGTACTCCTTTCAGTGACAAACACTGCCATAGAACCTTACGATCAACAGAGTCGAATGCCGCCTTAAGGTCGAGAAATACTACCATTGTGGGGCGTCTAAACGTGTGTCTGTGTTCTAGAACCTGACGTAGTGTGAATATTTGGTCTATACAACCACGTCCAGGTCGAAAACCAGACTGATTTTCTCTAGTCTGTTCTTCACGAGCTTTAGTTAGGCGTCGAAGTATTATTGAAGCTAATATTTTAGACACTGTATTAGTCAAACTGATTCCTTTTTGATTATCACAAGAGGACTTTTGTCCTTTCTTAAAAACTGGCACAATCAGTGATTGAGACCAGTCAGATGGGATTACGTCCAGTTCCCAAATTCTACCTAAGACCTCAGTTAATCTCACTGCTAATACTGAACCACCATCCTTAAAAATCTCAGGAGTAAATCAGTCAAGGCCTGCTGCTCTCCCTCGCTTCAGATTTCCTATAGCTTTTTTCAACTTCGTAAAGAGATGGAGGACCTACATTAACTTGCCACTCAGGTTGACTAGAGATCGTGGGAAATCGAAGCGTGGCTGAAGGCCAGTTGAACTGATCCCTAAAGTGCTCTGCCCATCGATCCAATCTCCTGGATTGAGAATGTGTAATATGTCCATCTTTCTCTCAGAGTGTTTCGCTAACAGTCGGTTTCCTAATAGCGGTTTCCTTAGCAAGTCTGAACAATTGTCTGCTATTACCTATTGCCGCTGCCTTTTCCATCTCTCTTGCTTTCGCTACCCACCACTGTTCACGATCGTTGCGTAGACTTTTTGTCAGCTTGCGGTTAAGCTGACTCCGCTCTTCATTATGTTCAGAGCCAGGTGGAATGAGTGTCCGAGAATCTATCAGTGCGATAGATGCTGCTGAGATCCAGTATTTCTCCCTAACCTTGTGGTTTACCTTACTAGCAAATATCACTGCTTTTTCCACAGCCTCGGGGTGGGCATCACATACATGGCTGGCTAACTGTTTTTCTAGTTGTTCCTGAAATATACTCTTAGCTTGACTATCATTAAGTAGGCCCCTAAGAGGTTTCGTTGCAGCGTCTTTCCTACGTCCAGTAAGACGCAGGCAGATACGCGCTCGTACTAGAGCATGATCTGAATCTAAGCATGTGCTCCAGAATGAGCGACAGTCTTCTATCGAACCTCTCCATCGGTGGCTGATAGCGATGTGATCTATTTGGGTCCAACGTTGGGACGATTTAGGGGGTCTCCATGTTAAAAGATGTTTTCCCTTATGCTTAAAGTTAGTATTTGCAAGAAAGAGGCGGTTATCTGAGCATAGCTACAACAGACGGTCGCCATTATCTGTTCTTTGAGCCATGACACTATAAGATCCAAACAGGTGTCTTTCCCTATCGCTTAGTTTACCTACTTGAGCATTAAAGTCACCGGCGACTATTACTACATCAGAGCGCCTAGCTTTTAGGAGGAGGTCGGAAAGCTTTCTGTAAAACTCATCTTTTACATCATCTGCGCTGCAGTCAATGGGAGAATAGGAAGAGACGACGAAGAGGCAACGACAAGTGTCCCTATCTTTTCGGATCCTTACTGTTCCGTTCAGTAGGACAGCGCACAAACGACTGTCTACTGGGATCCACTCTAAGGGAGCTAGTTCTGCCCTAGGACTCAATGCTATACCTACGCCGGTGAGGCCACGGGAAGCAGAATCAGGGCTTCCAGATACACGAAGTGTGAATCGAGTCGGTTCTTTATTTGGGCATGGTGAGGTCAGATGAATGACGCTACTCGGATCCTGTATGCGCGTTTCGGAGACGCGGCACACATCGATGGCGCAGGATTCTAAAGTCCTAGCTAAGGAAGCCTGTTGTCCTATTTGGCACAGTGTCCGGACGTTAAAAGCTCCTACGTGTAGTTTAGAGCGTGGTTTTAGGAGACCAGGAATAACGTTGAAATGGCTCGTTGCAATGGCGCAGGTGCATCCACTCTTTGTGTTCTCCCAAATTTTGATTTCCTTATTCCTCCTTGTCTCTTTTTTTCTCTTCCTAAATTTGTTTCACTGTATTATACTCTTTAAATAACATCTCCAAACATTAATCTTCCCGATTACTGCTTATACCCTTATTACCTCTACCACTACGGGATTTGAATTGACCACTGCATTTCTGTGCTAATGTGGTGTGGCAACTCGAACTGATGTACGTACGTACGAAGTTCTACGTTGATACTGACTGACTGAGAGGGATACTGGTTTCATTTGCACGAACATGTAAGAGTCATTGAATAAAATATCATATAAATCAATGATTCTGGATGGGATTTCATAAAAATCAACAAGCAATAATTCATTTAACTAACCTTCTATGGGATTCTGTAAGCATTAACGAACAAAATAACGCCCAGGATAATCGGATAGGGAGAACCAAGACGAATCATCTAATCCCAGATATGGCTGGTTGGCGTATTCACAATAGCAAAAACCTGAAATATAAGAGTGAAATATAGCAAATACTACCAATGTGGTGTAAACATGATATCAGTAAACGATAGTGCAGAACAACTGAGAGATTAGTATATGGCGACATCGTGGAGGATAAAATAGAAGTGCAAGCACCTTTAGGTGGATGAAAACATCGTGTATATGGGGGTGATATGGTGCGGTACTTCTGGTTAACTAATATTTCTAACTCAAGTACTGAGTTTATGAGCATTCTCCGCATACACAAATTACACTTTAGAAAGCATAGTGAGCAAACGATAAATTTCTCAAACCTCAGTTAAAACTGATAGCAATGATGTCAGGGCCTGAAAATATGACATGATCCTTCCCCACTAGACTTTTTTCTTAAAAGCATTTAGTTGTAATTATTTGTGCTTTATGGAATGGTATTCCCAACTAGCTGTAAGCTTGTTTAGAATTACACAACAATAAGTTTTAATTACTAAAATAATAGAACTTCATACAGAAATCTATGCCGTCTCTAAAATCTCTACCCAGAAAAAGTAGTTATTCACTTGATCTTATCAAACTAGTGCGAAAAACCAGCACGATTAGTTTTTTAATTAACTGGAAAACCAAATAACTTCCCATAGTTTAGTAAGTGCATATGTAGCGTAAATTTCGGAATCAGGAGAGATTGTATTACGCTTAGAGGTCACCTGTTTGATATCTGATTCGATGAAGATGTACAAACTAGGAAATATGTAGTTACATTATGCCTTCTGTTTTCAATTTGTCTAAGCACTCACTGTTTGTAGCTTAGGTAGAGCATAAGATGTATCTCGTCGAAAATAGTGTAACATCTTTTGGATGTCGAGAGGTTCAGAAGCAACAATTGTAGCAAACTTCAGAACCCAGTTAGGTAAGGTAAGCAAATTAAAAAGAGAAACCTAGTCAGAACTTTTGATATTCAAGTCTGGTGACGGTAACTTTGTTTTGACAACCACTTCCTTCCAAAAAAAAATACCAACTCCAAACAATCGGATACATTTGTAAATGGCGATTGACAGTCAACATATAGTGGACGCAAAAATATCATATAGGTAAATCGCTGCCGAAGAGTACCCAAGGAATATTGTCGATCTTTCGGATCAAATGTCTAGCGTATTACCTGTATTACTTGACACCAAAAAGTTGCACCAGGAACACTTCCGGTTAAACTTAAGGATGGAAACGTTAAGGTTTTTTTAAAGAACTACCTAGGGATAGCTAGATAATTTTCAGTCAGTTGCTATGTCAGAGGTTACGTTTACTGGAGACTTAAAAGAAAGGCCTGGACTTTCGCAACCTTGGTAGAATTAATAGTATCAGGGTCCACAAAAATATAAGAATCAAGAGCTTTATAAAAATTCGATGCAACAAACGTTAGTGAAGGGTGATGAAAACAAGAGGTGGGAAACAAGCGACAAGAAACAGTAAAAAGTTGTTTAGAATTATCAAGGAAATTTGGATTAAAGGATTGGTAGTTGGTCAATCATCAACTCAGAGCTTGCACAGAAGTATACCGACTTAAGTTGCCATAGTTCAGGACCTAGAACTGACCTCATACTTGAAGAATATGGTTCGAGAAGACAGAGTTAAAAGATATCAGTGAAGGAACATTTGAGTTGAAGATCTCAGGAATAAAAAGATTGAATGCGTTTGGGACACTAACCCATTTTGAGTCATGTCATTCAACATCTCGAACTACTGATTGTGGTTATTACACAGGCCTTAACTAGGTAGTCTGCATGCATTAATATGGTTTAGGCCCACAGTCAATGATTTTATAGACCGATCCGTCTAATAATGATCTACTTTTATACACTGTGTTGTATGGCTAAATAGTAAAACTCAGATTAATGAACATTATATGCTTTCTTTGGTTGGTAAAATTATATTTCACTCAAGCGACAGGTGACGCGAGTTAGCAGAAGCCAGGTGGGCTTTTTGAATCTGTGGGGAGATTTTTTTCAAAAGTCGAAATACGGTTGATAAAGCTTTCAAGATAGCTGAAATCATCAACATACTAAACCACTGACTAATTAATGACCCAGACCGACCCTGAAGCAAGCTTGTAGATATTCAGTTCAGTATATCTAAGATAAGTGCTAAGTTTTCTACACGTACGATTGATGTTGCGGTTGGTCCATGTCGGTGGATGAGGGTGTTGTATGTACTAAAACGGTGTGCAAATATGATATAATCCAAACCAACAGAAAATAGGCTACCGAGAATAGTGCGCCATGTATATAAACACGAACCAAATGTTTCCTCCTATTAGGTCAGAGAGAAAATCGTAAGGAATAAAATAAAAACTAACGTAATAATTGCTGACTTTTATTCAAGAGCATAGAAGAGCCTTCTGACCACTTTTAACAGCTTATCGATTTACGAGTAAGATCGGACTGTACAAGAAATAATTCAGATTTCGAAGGTGTAAAGTGTATAAAAAACTTACTTGGGGAGGGGGATCGCTAATTAAGTGCCATTGGGGGTGGCTAATCTATTAACCCACAGTAACATTGCCATCCGCTTATTTAACGTTGAAAAACTAGGTAATAAATCTACATCAATAAGCACTTGCTTTACAGTTGTTTATATAATTTCATTGATGATAAAACTAAAGGGAAGTGGAGAGATTAACCGAAGCCTACTGATAGTTGAGAGCGGGATTAGTTATTAAAGCACCATAAAGTTGCAAGTCCGAACACTACAACGTCGACTTGGATTCAGCAGTCAAAATCCCGACCGTTGTTGCTACCTTGACTTGGTGGTCGGGCTTGCCTATCGTGATGAAACAACCGAGCTATACTGACTGGAACAACTGTTCCTCAAGGTCCTACCATGTCAGAAAGGTCGGTTGAAGAGCGGTAAGACTAAAAGCAACAAATCCAAGGTCTGAAGGCGAAGTCGTACTGCTGACTGTACAGAGGTGTGACAGCAGTAAGGTGTTTCCTTCAGACAACAAGCGCAACAGCGATGCTGCCTTCCCACAAGGAGGGGCGGGGTTAGAAAAGGTCGACCCTAAAAATGCACATTTCGCCTTATCCCACGGATATCCATCTCCGGCGGTAAGGTCTCAACAAGTACGGAGCTAACACAAAAATTGCCCATAAAAAGGTCGTGTGTGACCGACCTCAAGCAGTTGTCCCTTGGGCACCGCGTTCACGCTCTCAGGTCACTAAGACCACTTCTAATCCGATTTCCTTTTCAGGTACCTCCAGAAGAACCCTTCCACGGTGTGGGCAACCGGGAAGTGATAACCGCCCTCATACCTCTAACAGCACTCAAGACCAAGGGATTCATAATCAACCTCCCTCTTCAATTCATATTATTCCTCCGACAGTCAAAGTGTTGCTAGCCTTCATACTATCAGGATGATTTTGAGTACACAAACATGGACGTGGTTAACGTTACATTAATAATCAATGACTATTAATGTTGGGGTACTTTATTTAAACACAAACATTGGTACAAGAAGGTACCGAATAGATATGCACCACATAAATCATTCGATTTGTGTGAGGTCTGGGATACAACCCGGGGAATCAAACCGAGGCAGGTGGTTTTGTTAGGGGGCCACACTCCGAGCCTTCGAACTAAAGGTCTAATCCACAAGGCAGTGAAGCAACGTAAGGGGATGCAGTCCCATGGTAGCTGTTGACCAACAACTGGTTCATACGCTATTTGTTTCCTTAGGATCCTGGAGCCCATGTACACCATTAGTTTATAATCAGGGTTTTCCAACTCCCCTAGGTGGACTCTCTGTGTCTATCAACCCGGTTAAGGTGCCGGACATTTGCTTTTCATCCTTTCAATTTTGTCAACAACACTCCCGCCACGAGAAGGCATTGAGTAGGACTTCCCTAGCAGTCGTTGTATACACGCGACCACTTGAGAACATTTCGAAAGGGAGGACTGACTCTCACCACTCCCGGCCGTACCAGGGCATTTGGGAGTAATGAGATTTTATATTCTCATTCTATGAAGTTTTCGTGTAGACATGTTGAAGGATACTGACGGACTTCTTAGGAACGCTTTTTCAAAAGACAATCCCAGAGTATAGTTCTATCCAACGAGGTGAAATGCGTGTAAGTGTTCAAGGTTTTGCTAATTAATGTGTTATTACGTTCATAACTTGGACGAAGAACGATTTTCTTGTTAGGGTCCAGTCATTTTGGATTCTTGTCATTAAGGGTAGTACTATGAAATCCAGTATTCTAAACGCAATTAACGGGAAAATTGAACTCTAGTGATTGCCACAAATGTCAATATGGTTCTCCTTAAAGACAGCGCAACAGTCAAAATTATAGAACACTAACCTCTATATCTTTCTAAGTGACTTGTGTGGTGCATCTGTATTCGGTGCCCCTTTGTACCAATATTTGCGTTTGAATAAATAAAATAAAATACCTAACTAACTCAGTCGAATTTTAACTATAATGTTGCATGAACTGATTAAAAGATCAAAAAACTAGTCTGGTGACTCGCAACACTTTTAAAAACTGGGTATTTTTCAGGATATCTGCTAGCTGAGGATTGTACAACGGTTTAGTCTCAGTTCGTGGTAAGTGTTCACTTATACTGCCTAAATATTGTACTAAGAGCTCTAGACGATTATAACAGTTGCCTAAATGAGGACTTGACCAAGGTTGTAAATGATAACTATCGGCTTGTATCAATCAACCGCTTATCATTGTATATGAATTTAACATTATTGTGGCATAATTACGTTTTAGTAGCGAATTGTGAAAGCGAATCCGTAGAGTATTTTAACCAATTTAACCTAGCTGAATATGATTAGCTTTCAATATCAGGCATAATGTAGATACAGAACACGGAATGGATCATTGGATATTATTCATTGTCGAGAATAATTTAATTCGTGAGCATTTTTCAGCAAATCATTTTTAATTTAATGTTTGCGTGTTTTTGCCCGGCAATGAGCAATACAACTACTTCAAGGATATTTTGAGGCCTGTTAAGATAGGGAAACCTTAGAAGACACTAAGTCAATGTAATTGATCATTTAGATACAAAATATATGGGATACTAATTATTCTGAATCTTTCTGACGTTAGACTTAGGCTATACAAATTGACCAGATCTGTACACACTTAAATCTAGGCTTGATACTTTGAATATGCTAACATTATATTGTGCAATTATGTACAGATAATCAGTCTTAAGCAGCACAGAACTGACGCATGGGCATCTGCCCAAGTTAATATGTACAGAGAATGCAAAGTGTCCGAGAATCCATGTTTGACAATACTTAGGTGTTTTGGAATTTAGCTATAATCAACATATAACTTGAAACAAATGGGCATCACCTTAAGTTATTGAACGTTCTACAGAGGTGAAATATCAAAGGAGTCGGAATCGTAGTGATATCAAGGGTAGTAAGAAAAAATTAACGAAACGAATGTAGTTTAAAAAATAACAAAGCAGAATCTAATCAAAAATAGTGTTAGGAATTGGGGTCGAAGGCTGAGGAATGAATGCAGCTACGCCACTGAGACTATATTTCATCTTGATTAAAACATTTAGGCTGGTTACGATTATCTTCTAGAGCACAACATATTAGTCTGCATTTCGTGACATCACTGGTACATGTATTTACGATATGTTTTCAGATATTTGCTTAGGATAAAATACGAAACACATTACAAGGAAGGTAATTGTTTAGCAAGATTTTTATGAAAATATTAACACTCAGAAAAACTGAAGTGATTTTTTACTATAAATCAATGTCAAGAACCTTGTTAGTTAATATCACGAAGTTTTCGTCTTGAGGAATTTGTAAATATTTCAATACAATTCAGTAACTAAAGGCAGATTCATGTAAACACATCCATGATGAAAAGCAGGTAGAGGGTGAATCGAATTCTTAAGTCTTAAATGAAGATATATCAATACGTTTCTACAAGATCGTGAGTTTCATGCACCTCCCAGGAAAATAGAGACCCGAATCCAGACACTTTATTCACAAAGGTTTTCCAGTAAAACTCCACTTTAGACAGAGTCGTACATTAAGACGGTTTGTGACTTAGCATTCATGATGTATGGTTAGTAAACATGAACACCACTCACTTTTAAAACCATTGCTACTTACTTTCTATCAGGCGTTAAGCTAGCTAGTGAGCTTTCGTATGACTTTTACTTTATATTACGCCTCAAATTTAGGACAAAGATGTAACTCTTATAAAGTGATGTCAAGAATAAAAGTGGATACTGTATGAACATACAGAACATACAAGCTAAATTTAGCTTGTACATGATATAATTAGTTACCAAGTTAAATTATCTCGAAGCACTACTTAAATGCACTAATCAGACTATATGTAGATGATTAAGAACCGTTACATTAAACAGGGTATGTAAAGTACATACCTGGTAAAATTAACATTAATCACAACGCTACACAACTCATTACAAGAAGTTCAAAGCCAGCCCTTAGTCAACAGCACGCCAGTTTTAAACAAAACAGAAAGCAAGGTTGTCTGACTCTGAAGGTCAAATCTACCTTTACTAATGGGAAAAGATCTCACAATGTTGCATCGTCATGCTAACAGATTAGCATGATCGTTAAATATCTCTTCTGTAACTATATGTAAACATGTATATACGTCTGCAGAAAAATCCATAGGCCTGACAGTTTCACATTCGGTTTCACAAACTATCCCTCACGTCTAATATGGATCATTTTTCGTTTGGCACATGGTAACCAATCCATATCTGAGTGACAAGCACTCTGTTTATCGGTTTGCCTTAATAGCAGTACGAAGGTCATCAATCTAGACGTTGTTTAAGAAGTCACTCTCATCAAAAGAAAAAGAACTTCCTTAGGAAAAAGCCAGGAGATTACTACATTGTAACTATCATTATCATTTGGCTGACTTTTCTACTTCAGATTCTCGAAGGCTTAGGAACTTTTATTCAAGACATTGGTCTGAATGATATTTTGATTTCCGACAGAGAAAGTGCACTCTTGTCTTACATGCACGACTAAAATAGTATACGAAGACTAACAAAGTGTGTTCAGGTTAGGTACCATCTGATATGTTGGCTATCATGTCGAGTTATTCTCGAGGCCAATATTTCACAGATACATAGAGAGTTTTAAAACAGTAGTTTAGAGCTGCATAGATCTACTCAGTGTTGAGATGTGTAAGAGCTTTATAACGACTTATATTGATTCTTCTAGTTGACATTTTCCATGGCTAAGCGTAGAAATGGTTAACTTTAAGAACATTAAACCTATCTAGTGGTCTTGAAACTGAACGTAAATCAAAATAATTGTAACCAAATAAGGGTACCATACATACGCTGCTGTATACAGCTCTGTTGACTACACACAAAAATTATTTTGACGTACTGGACGTTTGGGCACCAGATATAATTCAAACACTACATCCCATGAATGCATGGTTAACCCAAAGAATATAAACTGATAGTGAGTATTAGAATAGGATCTGTGGAACATTACAATCAACATGTTAAAACCAGCTCACGATGCACACACATTCCGGTGGCTTGATTCTTAACATTTCATGCTAATCCAGCTATGCCTCATTTACTGTAGTGACCTACAGACTGGTTGAACTATTCATACCGCTATAACCCTCCTGTTTCTTAGTTTATTTGTGTTATGTTCATACCTCCTGCCTCTAAGTACCATGAGTAGCAATACACTGGCTATTGGTTTGTCGAAATAATAGACGTTCACCTCACCCACTACTCGTCTACAACAGGCAGAGCCAATGTCAGGCCCTTTCTTAAGAGTGCTACTCGACATCACTACCTCTTACTTCTTTCCTATATGTCATCAGCTGGTAGATAACAACTTATTATTTCCCACGGATACACGCATATCGTGACACGAATTTTTGAGAAAAGTTCCTGAATTCAACATAGGATGTAGTGATATACACTATATTTGACTCTTCCATCGATGTCACATCACACAACAGCTATGACTTATCTCACGTTGATATTAATCTCCAGTAAGCATTTGAGTATACGACACAAATCACCTCGGTAGACGTACTGACACCATGGTACCTTATCTACGGGGGTCAAAAACTACTAACCACTGACGACAAGAACTAATAAAGACTGAGACAATTCATAACAACAATGATGACAATAAGTGAATAAATATATTCAAGACGAAACCGACCTACTGATCTTGGCTTCTGTGATCTAAGTACATTATACGTATTAGCCGACTTAATTACGCTACTAGATTAACATACCTACCACACTGTCGCTGACTCGCGATGTAACTGTCTAATATATATGATCTAATGTCAATGTCACCCCATCGTTTATCTTGACTTGCCTTGTCATGGAAGTTCGAGATACCTCTTCGTGATAGCCTTCGAATAATATGTATAATCTTACCAAGAAAACGACATATTAAGTATGTTGGCAAAATGTTAGAATTTCGGTGACCAAACTTGATTGTCTTAGCCAGCCATTGTTGTCTAGTTATCACTAAGGGTTGACAAATATGTCGGACTCGACATTGTTAACGTTTCTCTGAAACACAAGGTGATATTATACAGAAAGCTAAAAAACAATGTACATTAATAGACGTATATGCAGCAGCTAGTTAATACTTTGTTGTACCCTATAAAGCATCAGGTCACCCAAAGTGTTGTACTCTATCACTTTTGAACAATAGATCATTGAATGATAAAGTCACATAAGTCTCAATTCTTCGGTCATTACCCATCCAAACTCTCTGCCAAACACGTTCTGAGATTTGTAATGGGCAACCTGTCCTTAGTGTTTACATCCAATGTTCTCACGAGCTTGTGGAGGACTGAAGTTCCACTCTAAGTATTGACTCAGTAACTCAATATGTCTCATTGACATCTGACATCCAGCGAAGTTCGATCCTCCGTCGCTAAACGTCACTTTAAGACTGCCAATATGACCAATACGAACGCATCAGTCGATATGTTCTACATCATATCATCATGCATAGTTCCAACCTACAGACAGACGAACGCGAAAATCAACTATTGAAGCTGTCTGTAGTGAGAACTTCACTGGCTAACAAATAATTTTTGTGTTGTTGAACCAATCTACCTAGTCCAATATATTTGACTCACCATAATATTACTGCATAATCTATAGGATATTATATTCAAATCGTAACAGTGTATACCATGACCTAGCTTATCGTGGAGGCTGTTGTTCTCCTCTTTATAGGATTCTTTGAACGAAAAAAGCTTACATGCAGAATACTGTATATAATATGAAGACGAGAGAAAATTGGTGTGACAGCCATTCTTGAATGGCTGAGTCATCCACTTTCGGTAAGGTTATCGCATCGCCTCATATTGACCATCCAGTCTCGAGTAATAATAAACACTTTCACAATCTGACCTAGCTTTTTAATAGAACTTGAACAGCATGCAACTACTGAGTCATTTTTAGTTTCAAAACAAATGCATTGTCTTCACAAGAAATTGTGGCCTTCCTAAATATACGCCTTATTTGCATGTTGTTGTATTTCTACAATTATGCACTTTATGTGTACTTGTGCATATGTCTATCACTCATTATCTTTATCCAAAACGTGTTTCTTTACTACGCACTATGTATTTTTGGCTACATTAGTTCTTTTAATGAGTATTATCGCTATTTGGTGTGTTTGCTTTCTCTTATCTGCTTCTTTTCTTTGTTTCCCTTATTGTATGTCCTGAGCAACGAGTGTCTGAAATATACTCATCCAAAATTATTTCTCACACCTGTTTTATTGTTCTCAAACGCGAATTAGGTAGTTAATTGTAGGCGAAGTTTGTCGGAACGTATTTTTAATTGATATTATTTGATTTAGTTGGAGTCAGATCAACGGCCAGTAAAACCTTTACCATTTTCTATCAAGTGTTCAACTTTTAGCAGTAAACCTCCAGATAGTTAAGTTACTGAGGTCATTTTGGGTAAGGGATACACTTTTACTTAGAGTCTCAGGCTTATAGCTATATACTATTTTGAAATCATCAGCATATAAGTATGGTTTCGCAAATCTTATGATGTTACATATATCGTTTATATACATTAGAAACAAGCGTGGACCTAATACACTTCCCTGGATGACTCCAATAGTTATTGGCCTAGGTGATGAGAGATCATCATTGTGCTTTACCATCTGTTTACGTTCTGTTAAGAACAAAGCGAACCATGAGTATAGTGGGTTTTTTATTCCGAAGGACTTTAGTTTGACGAGAAGCCTTTTATGTAGGACTTTATCAGAGGCTTTGTTAAAGTCTAAAAATAGGACCGATACAAGGAGTCCGTTGTCTCGTTTCACAGTTATATCATTCAGGTAGTCTACTAGGGATTTATCGCATGATCTGAACCAAAGAGATCTATCCTGGGAGGTCGAGATGAGATTATTAGTAAGTAGATGTTGAACTACAACTGCCTTAACTACTTTCCCAATCACTCTAGATATCATTGAAGTTATCTTTATGGGAGGGCATTTGTCAACACTTGCTTCAGGTCCTGTTTTAACTTTGGGAATATGTGTAGTTTTCCAGGTAGTAGGGTAAGACGCTGTAGAGATTGATATTACAAATAGTTTGAGAAGCAAAACACACATATCATCACCTCCATGTTTTAGCATGCTAGATGGAATACCATCTGGTCCATCAGTGTAGGAGTGTTTCAATGTACTGATTGCCTTGGAGATATTTTGTACATTGAATTCTACATTAGTAATTTCGCAGGGAGGTAGTGGGATTGGTTCGGAATCATTAGATGGTTTTTCGTTAGTCAGTGAGAAACAAAAATGTTTACTAAATAATTCTGTGACAAGTTTGGGATCTCCGTATACTTGTTCGCCTTTAATGAATGTACTCCCTCTCGATTTAAAACGTTTAAGTTTACTTTGAAGGAGCATGGTGAGTGCAGAAGGGTTATCATTAAGTTTATCCTGTGCGACTGCTTTTTGTGTACTTATTGCCTCTGTTCGGACAAGTATTTCTGTCGTCGTTATTAAAGAGGAAAAGTCATTAAAGTTGTGGAATCGAGTACAATGTCTTTGAAGACATCTTGTACTAACAGGTATATAGAGATCTTTGGAGAACGTAGGTCTACAGTATTCTAAAGGTGCGATTTTGTTGATGATACTTCTGATGTTGAAATAAAATATATTGTTTAGTGTGTCGGTATTGTTTGCAGTAAAGAAAGTTCCCCAATCAGCGCTTATTAGGTAGTTGTGGAAGTCATGCCATTCAACCTTGAGAAAGTTTCTACGAAGTGTTACGGTTTTACGTTTACTGGTTGTGGTTTTTATATTAAGGCTACATATGACAATGTTGTGATCACTACCTGGAAACGTTTTTTCAATGTACACAGCATTGGGGGTGAGGCCACAGGTAAAGACTAAGTCCAAGATATTTTGACGTCCGGTAGTGCTATTGACATACAGTGTTCATTGTCCAAGCTCTAGACGGTCATTAAATAACTCATAACTTTTCGGCGCCT